GCGTTTCACCCACCCAGTACAGGGTTTCGTGGCCCCATCAGGGGACCCTACGGAAGGTCCCAGTGGCACCGCCCGCATGCGTCCGCCACCACCCAGTACAGCCCTTGCTCCCTGCGTTTCACCCACCCAGTACAGCGTTTCGTGGCCTCATAGGGGGGCTCCACCGAAGGCATTATTGGCAAAGTCCGCATGCGTCTCCCCCACCCAGCAAAATGTTTCGTGGATCATGGGGAGCTCCACCGAAGGCGCCAGTGGCAAAGTCCGCATGCGTGCCCCCCACCCAGTACAACGTTTCGTGGCCAATAGGGAGCTTCACCGGAAGCCACAGTGGCAATGTCCGCATGCGTCTCCCCCACCCAGTGCAGCATTTCGTGGCCCATAGGGAGCTCCACCGAAGGCCCCAGTGGCAAACTTCGCATGCGTTCCCTCCACCCAGTGCAGCGTTTCGTGGCCCCATAGGGAGCTCCACCGAATACGGTATCCAAAATTGCGGTATTCACAACTACAGATGGTTGGGTCCTTCGCCAGGCTGATTTTTTCAATGGGTTTTTGACCATGGGTGATCTTTCATACAGTCGACCCGATCTCGTCGCATCGTGTTGAGTCATTGTTCCGTATGTCATGGGTCTTGGGTGGGTGGGACACGGCTAGCAGGCTTCGAGTGGGGCTAGTGAACCCCGCACCCTTGCGCATGGAATTTTTATGCGCGTGTTTTGTATTGCTTTTGCTGATGAGTCGATCGCCTTGGACGAAGCATCGGACGAAGCCGCGAAGATTCTGGTTTCCACTCTCTCAAGTGATTTATTCAGCTGAAGCGGCTGTTTCTTGAGCTCAGCCAGAGAATTACCCTGTGGCGTACCATACCCTTGCTATACATGTTGCGATTCTACTCAGGACCACTTAATGCTGACTGGCATTCTGAAGGACCCGCAGTGCGCAAGAAGAGCACCAAACAGTGATTTCAGAAGAGCGCAGCAAGAAGAGGAACGGCAGCGATACAAAATGGAAGCACAGGGGCGTTGAAAGAAACGCGTATGACGTACCTCCGAATGCTCCGCGTGGGACCCATCTCCGCTGGGCCTCCCAGGAGCCCACGAAAGTGGCGACAGTTGTGCAGATCGCAAAACCCCCAGGGGGCGGCGAGGTCCCAAGGTGGTCCGCGTTGGATGTACATCCGCTGGGCCTTCCAGGAGCCCACGAAAATGGCGACAGTTGCGCAGATCGCAAGCCCCCCAGGGGGCGGCGAGGTCCCGAGATGATCCGCGTTGGACGTACCTCCGCTGGGCCTCCCAGGAGCCCACGAAAGTGGCGACAGCTGCGCAGATCACAAGCCCCCCAGGGGGCTGCGTGGTCCCGAGATGATCCGCGTGGGACCCACCTCCGCTGGGCCTTCCAGGAGCCCACGAAAGTGGCGACAGCTGCGCAGATCGCAAGTCCCCCAGGGGGCGGCGAGGTCCCGAGGTGATCCGCGTGGGACCCACCTCCGCTGGGCCTCCCAGGAGCCCACGAAAGTGGCGACAGTTGCGCAGATCGCAGCCCCCAGGGCACCGCGAGGTCTGGAGGTGATCCGCGTGGGACCCACCTCCGCTGGGCCTCCCAGGAACTCACGAAAGTGCGACAGTTGCGCAGATCGCAGCCCCCGAGGTCCCAAGGTGATCCGCGTGGGACGTAGGTCCCGAGGTGATCCGCGTGGGACGTACCTCCGCTGGGCTTCCCAGGAGCCCACGAAAGTGGCGACAGTTGCGCAGATCGCAAGCCCCCCAGGGGGCGGCGAGGTCCCGAGGTGGTCCGCGTGGGACCCACCTCCGCTGGGCCTCCCAGGAGCCCACGAAAGTGGCGACAGCTGCGCAGATCGCAAGTCCCCCAGGGGGCGGCGAGGTCCCGAGGTGATCCGCGTGGGACCCACCTCCGCTGGGCCTCCCAGGAGCCCACGAAAGTGGCGACAGTTGCGCAGATCGCAGCCCCCAGGGCACCGCGAGGTCTGGAGGTGATCCGCGTGGGACCCACCTCCGCTGGGCCTCCCAGGAACTCACGAAAGTGGCGACAGTTGCGCAGAGCGCAGCCCCCAGGGCACTGCGAGGTCCCGAGGTGATCCGCGTGGGACGTAGGTCCCGAGGTGATCCGCGTGGGACGTACCTCCGCTGGGCTTCCCAGGAGCCCACGAAAGTGGCGACAGTTGCGCAGATCGCAAGCCCCCCAGGGGGCGGCGAGGTCCCGAGGTGGTCCGCGTGGGACCCACCTCCGCTGGGCCTCCCAGGAGCCCACGAAAGTGGCGACAGTTGCGCAGATGCGCAGATCGCAAGCCCCCCAGGGGGCGGCGAGGTCCCGAGGTGGTCCGCGTGGGACCCACCTCCGCTGGGCCTCCCAGGAGCCCACGAAAGTGGCGACAGTTGCGCAGATCGCAAGCCCTCCAGGGGGCGGCGAGGTCCCGAGGTGGTCCGCGTGGGACCCACCCCCGCTGGGCCTCCCAGGAGCCCACGACAGTGGCGGCAGTTGCGCAGATCGCAAGCCCCCCAAGGGGCGGCGAGGTTCCGAGGTGGTCCGCGTGGGACGTACCCCCGCTGGGCCTCTCAGCAGCCCACGAAAGTGGCGACAGTTGCGCAGATCGCAGACGGCACGAGAGAAGAGGAGAAGGGAACACAGGACACTTGAGAGAAGGCGGAGGGGAGGAGAGGGGAGGAGGAGGAGGAGGACGGGGCGGCCACACTGCTCTATTCAAAATGAGTACCTAACCATAGGAGGGTTGGGACAAATGAAAATACCCTACACCCTATGAGCTAAGAGCCTTTAAATATTCAAATCCCAAAATGCCTTATGCCGCCCTTACGCCGCCCCTTCCGCCGCCCCCCATTTTGGCACACCCCTCACGCAGATCCTTGCCCTCGGAGTGCTGGGAATGGTGTTCTGAGAGCTTTTGCAAATCCCAGGGCGCGCCCCTCACGCAGATCCTTGCAAGCCCCGGTATGCATCGCCAAGGCGTCGGTAAGTTGCTGCGGGGAGCTACTCGTTTTTGTCGCTTCGCGCGCGCGTCTGATCGCCCTTGCATCGGCCTTCGCGCACCGTGCCGCAGTGCTAAGTATGCGAACTGGGGATCCGTTTCCTCGAGGCAACGAGCTATCCCGCGCTCGTTGCGCAGCCACTCCATGCAATCTCACCGCCGCTGGGCGGCGGCCCTGCGACGCACAGGGACTCGCGTAAGTATACGTTGTTCTTCAAATCGCGTCGTCGCGCGCGCGTGCCGCATCGCCGTTGCAGCGGCTTCCCAGAAGACTTTGCGCGACTGTCGTCGTCGTCGTCGTCGTCGTCGTCGTCGTCGTCGTCGTTTTTAGATCATTATCGTCGTCTTCGTCAACGGTATCGTCGTCGTCGTCGTTTTGAGATCAATATGTCTTGGGTCATGGGTGGGTGGGGCACGTCCAACAGGCTTCAAGTTTGGGCTCGTGGACCTTAAACCCTAAACCCTAAGCCCCTCCTCCTCCCCCCTTCCCGCTCCCAGGGCTGCTCCTGCTCCCTCCTCCTCCCTCTCCCCCCCACCTCCGCTCCCTCCTCCCTGGCCTCATTGGTGGGCGGCCTAGCCGCCGTCGTGGCCGCCACCGACTCGTCGCCGATCGTCGCTTACCGCCGCCGCTGGTCGTTGATCGGCGCCGGCGCCGCCGCCGTCGGTCGTCGTCGGCCGTCGCAGCCGCCGTCGGTCGTCGTCGTCGTCGTCGCCGCCGCCGCCGCCGCCGCCGCCGCCGCGGTCGCCGCCGCCGTCGTCGTCGGCCGTCGTCGTAGGCCGTCGTCGCCGTCGTCGTCGCCGCAGCCGGTTGTCGCCGCCGCCGTCGGCGTGGCAGGTCGAGGTGACCGTGGTGAGCGCCAGGTCCCTGACGGGGGCGGGCGCGCTGCCGAGCACGTCCTGCAGGTGCGGCGTGCAGGGCCGCGCCGACCTGGAGCGTCGGGGCAGTCGCCGTCGGTCTTCGTCGTCGCCAACGTCGCCGTCGTCGTCGCCGTCTGCGGTGGTCGCCGTCGTCGTCGTCGTCGTCGTCGTCGTCGTCGTCGTCGTCGTTGTCGCCGTCGCCGTCCCCGTCGCCGTCCTCGTTGTTGCTCGGTCGTCGTCGCCGTCCTCGCCGCAGGCCCGTTTTGGGCCACCCAGAGCGCGCCCGGTGCGCGCTGACACCCTCCAGTGGTGCTCAGGACTTTTGCCGCAGGGGGTCCCAGCTTTCTGAAATCCTGCACCTATCCTGCAAGCCGACAACAAGACGACAGTCCTCCTCTGACGCACCACTGTATGAGCCTTGGGGCACTCACCCCACGACATGCTGAGGGCACGAGCACGGATTTTTCAGTTGTGTGGAAGGAGGAGGAATTGATGAAGCAAAGTGCCGCGAAGGCTACGGATGACGCCCGTGGTCAAATTAATACAAACGTTACAGCCAGCAAACGAGCGGATTGTACTTCTTGCGAATTCGGGGGTTTGCGGGCTAGAGTCCAACAATTCCCGAACACTGTGTGAACACCTGCATGAGCCGTTGGGCATGCCAGAACGCGCTCAAGGTGTGATGGCTGATGTCGCACGTGAGCAGGGCAACGCCAGGTCAAACCAAATGACCCTGAGGATGAGTTGGGATGCTAGAGAATCATTGAGATATGTTTTTTTTTGCCAGGCTTAAGGTTGTGATGCTAGCTTCAACGTCCGCAGGGGTGGGAGCAAACAAATCCAGTCTACCTTCGCTGCTGAATCCGTCTCGTTCGGTAGGCAGTTCTTCGAAGCATGCAACAACTGCATATTTTTGGCGGCGAACTCAGGGGGGAAGTCAGAAAGGGCGGGCCTCCTCAGAAGGCTTGGAAGGCTTTTGGCCGTCTGAGAAGTTTTGCAAGCCTTCTTCGACTATGCACACGGCTCCTCAGAAGGCCAAAGGGTTTCCGAGACGCCCCGCCGCCTTCTGAGAAGGCCTGCCCCCTCACTGCCCCCCCAGGCTCGCCGACAACAGGCATAACATTTTGTATGTCTTCGCGGGTTTCTCAGATCGGCGTCGGAGCCCCCTGGCAGGGCTCAGCGCGCCAAGGAAGGGGGTCCAGCGCCGATCCAAAACTCCGCACGGGCCTCCGAGAGTTGTTGCTCAGGCAGCTTGTGTGTTCCTCAAGTTTCGGCCAGTGGATGTGCAGATCGCTGTCGAGCGAAGCGGGGCGGCCGGATGGCCGCTGTCTCCGTCGCGGCAGCTGGCGAGGCTGGCGTCGTGGCCCTGACAGACGAGCCGCCATCTGCCTCAGGCGCCGCCGCGGACAGAGCCGCGGAGCTTGACGACTCTGCTGCGCCGGGTGGTCACCTCGAGCCGGTGCTCGCGAGCCGCGCCGACCGTGCCGGGGCCCGGGGCCCAGCCCCTGCGGGCGTGCCTCGGCGAGCGGGCGCGCTGCCTCGCGTCGCTGGGGCGGAGCCGTGGCGCATGGCCCCTCGGAGGCGTGAGGAACTTGCAGTGGAGGCCCATGCCACAAAGCACCCTGCTTGCCTCCAGGGTGCCCTGGGTTTCCTGGGTTTCGATGGGTCTGCCATGGAAGGCGTGACGCTCCCACAGCAAAAGTCGATGGGCGTCCTGGGGTCTCAGGGTTGGGCTTCTGCGGAAGGTTTCTTGTGGTCGGGCCCCCACTGTACATTCCTCGCCCAGTGGCTCAGACATCCGCGCCACCACTTGCTGGTTCTGGTCGCCCAGGGCCAGGGCGGCCCTGCTGCGGCGGTGCGGGGCTCTGCAGTGGGGTGTGCTGCCGCTGCCGTCGCAGAGCCCAGGGCTCGAGGTCATCAGGGTCGCTCTTGAGGCCAGGGTCCTGAGCCTGCGCTTCGACGGCGCCCCCAGGGCTCGAGGTCATCAGGGTCGCTCTTGAGGCCAGGGTCCTGAGTCTGCGCTTCGACGGCGCCCCCAGGGTTCGAGGTCATCAGGGTCGCTCTTGAGGCCAGGGTCCGGAGTCTGCGCTTCGACGGCGCCGTGGGCGTGGGCCGTTCCCGTCACAGAACGGAGCCACTGCGGTGCTCGCAGCTGCTGCGCGCTTGCGCGTGGGCGGGCCCGCTGGGTGCGGGGCTCGGCGCTGCCGGTGAAGCCGCGTTCCAAGTGCGCCGGCGGCTTCTGCGGATTGCAGGGCAGCGTTTGCCAGCCTGAAGCACATCCTTCTCCTTATGATTGGCATCTCCTTGACTCGGTCTCGATCTACGATTTCCCTCAGTTTCTGAAAGCACATCCCTACTATTGTCATCGGGTTGGGCGTATCAATCTCAGAGATAGGGCCGAGCTCGAGGCTGGTTGCACAAATCTGACCTGCTACTCGCTGGCGCTGATGGTGGTCTACTTCAGGCAGGTCCACCCCACTCCGTCCTCTGAGCGGCCGGCCAGCGATCACTTCCTACATGATGCTGCGTTGCGCCCAGTGGAACTCCTCATCGCGCCAGCACCCGTTCTTTGGTGTCATGATGTTGCACGCCTAATTAGTGGAACGCGTCCACCGCGCCAGCAACAGTCTTTCTGCCGTGCGGAGTGCGCTCACCGTGTCCCGCCAAAGTGTCAGCGGAGAAGGGGAGGGAATGGGAGGGCTTGGTGAGAATGGGAGGGCTTGGGAATGGGAGGGCTTGGTGAATGGGAGGGATGGAGTCTTTGAGCCCGTGAGCGTGCCGGCCGCGTGCCGCGCGCCTCGCTATGCCGTGCCCAAGTTCTAGAAGGCGAAACGTGTACCGCCCGCGAGCTGTGCCGTGCGGTGCCGTGCCGTGCCGTGCCGACGTTGCGGAGTGCGAGAAGCGTGCCGCCCGCGCGCCGTGCTGTGCCGCGCACTGCCGTGCCGAGCTTTCAGAGGGCTGCAAGTGCGCCGCGCGTGCCGTGCCGTGTCGTGCTTTTTATATGCGTTGGTGTTGGTGGCAGAGGCAAAGGGTCATCTTCGGGGCCCGTGCGACGTGCCGCGCCGAGTCTGTGTCGTGCCGCGTGTGCCGGTGCCACGCAGGCCCTTACGCTCCGATGGTGGCCCCTGTGCACGATGTGCTTTCGAGCCTGGGAGCGAGGAGCTCTGAGACCCCGCCTTGCTGATCGCGCTGGCGCTTGCCGCAGCGGCGCTGCCTCTCCCTCTCGCTCTCACCACCCTCGCAGTCGGCGGGGTAGGAGGAGGTAAGGCGGAGGAGGAGGGAAGGTGGAGGAGGATGAGTAGGAGGAGGGGGAGGAGGAGGAGGAGGAGGAGGAGGAGGAGGAGGAATAGGAGGAGGAGGAGGAGGAGGAGCAGGAGGAGGAGGAGGAGGAGGGGGTCTGAAACGTTGCCCCAGAGTTGTGCGAGGTAACATGCTCGGCCCTGGCCGCCGCTGGTGCGTGCGCGTCTTTCGGGCTGGGCGGAGCCTGTTGTGCTGTCAGTCCGCGCCAACAGGCACTCAGAAGGTGAAGAGCCTGTCGTTTGGGTCTGCACGCACGTTTACAACGCTGATTCACGAAGGCGAAGCAAAATTAGCACTGCTCGCCACGTGCATGTCCTATCCTCTTGCCCTCTGCCTCTGTCGTTCCTTCAGGGGCAAGGTGGCAGTCCGCGCGGCGAGGTGCCGCTTGCACCGCGCTCTCGTCGCTGGAGCCGCCGGGGTGGTTCGCAATGCAAACATATACGAAGGGAGCGGGCTAACATCATGTTGAGGTGCGCATTTGCTGCGCTCTTCGGGCGGCCCCGCAAATTGCGAGGGCCCGCTCGCGTTGCTTGTTGCCCTTCAGGGCCAGACGAGGCGTCCTGGAGGGAGTCTGGCCTCCTGCGCCATCGCAGTAGCGAAATGCACGTGCCGCCATCCGGATGGACTGGGCAACCTTGACACCTGTACTGCTCCGATCGAAGAAAGTGGGACAGGCCCAACGCGCCTCGCGAGTGGAGCAGAACAGGTAACTCCCGTCCCCAGCCCTTGAGCCCGCAGACCGGGAGGCACATGGGGGCCCCCCCGGGGGGGGAGTTTTTGCACGCGCGCCTCCCGACCGGAGGGTGGTTCGGTGACCTTCCGTCGATGCGCGCACGCCGGGCCCCCACCCCCACAGGAGCGCGAGACACTGGTCTTTCGGCGGCTACCCTGATCTCTTGAGCGGTCCTGGACGCCCCATTGAGAAGACCCGGGGCCGCCTCGGGCCACCTTGGACGCCTCCCTGGCCATCGTGGGGAGCTTCCCGCGGGCCCCAACATGTCTCTGGACGACCTTCGCGAGCCCCCTCCCCCCACAACAACAACAGCAACAACAACAACCATCATTTTAAGACTGTTCGCTGTTATCTGCTCGCGTGTCATTCAATATGCATATCCCAAACCCTGGATACCCGCCCTCTTCGTCTTCGATTGTGCCCCTTTTTGGAGGGTACATTCATTCCCTGACACGTGTGGTTGGTGAAGCCCTTGAAAACGAAGGGTAACAGATAACGGGGGAGAATGAGGACGAAGGGATCGGAGGAAGGGAGGGGAGGGGCAAGAAGGAGGGAGGACGATGATTTGCGCTGTGAGTGGCGATTCAGCTCGCGCCATGGCTTCCGCCAGCCACTCCAACACAGGCTAACAATACGTTTCGCCATGGGCCACGCCATAAACAGCGCCACGTACCACCCCCTTGAAAGAACATATCGTGGATACCCCCACGGGGGGACGTACAGTTGCGAACTTGTGTCAGAAACAAATTTCGTGGAACCCTGAAAAGAAGCGCGATGTTGGGAGAGTGGGGCAGAAGGATGGTGGAAACTGCAACCGTGTCGAGAGGAGCGAGGGGATGTGGAGTGGATTGGGAATGGGGCGGACAAGAGTAGGGTTTCAGGAGGAGGAGCGGCAAGGAGTGGAGAAGAGGAACCGGGAGGAGTGCGGAGGAGCGGGGGGCGCACGTAGGAATCTGGAGGAGGGGCTGGGAATAACTTGGGAAACATGCGGAATGCGAGCGGGACAGGGTGGAGATTGTTGGGGTGGGATGGGGTGGCCTGGGGAGGAGTGGGCGGAGTGCGAAAAACAGAGGAATAGCACAATGGAGTACGAACGAAATACAAATGAAGATAAAGGGAAAGAGTAGAGAAGACTGGGAAAGAACGTTGAAAAGTGGGGGCAGGTGGATGCGAGCGGAGACTGGGTGCGGAACCAAGGCGCGGGGGGATTGGAAGGCACTTGAAAGTCTCCCATGACCTCTGGGGGGCCTCGGAATGGACCCGATGACCACCGAGCAGTTCCAGAGGCTCCGAGAACCTGCGGGGGCGCCCCGGGGGCCTCGTCGAGGGAGGCCTTCGTTCGAAGCCTTCGGCGGGCGGGCGGGTCGTGCGGGCGGGTCGTTGAAGCGCAAATTCTGTTCGAACCGCCAGGCGATGTGTAGCGGGAGTGTGATTCCTGAGTGTCGAGGGGCGGCATCGGAATAAATTCTTGACGCTTCGCGTATCCCCACCAGCCCATCCAGAATCGATTGCCCGTTTTCTTGAGGCCCCTTTGGGGGCTATCTTGAGCCATGCTCGGCTATTGGCTGTCGGAGGCTATCTTGAGCCATGCTCGGCTATCTTGGGCCATATTGAGGCTGTCTTGAGGTTTCTGAGGTCTGTCGGAGGCTATCTTGAGCCATGCTTGGCTATCTTAGGCAATTTTGAAGGCCATCTTGGGCTATCTAGGGCTCTCTTGGAGCCATCTTGGGCCAAAAAGGGCGGGGTGGAGGGTCTTTGGGAGAGGCTGGGAGGCCTCTTGGGGCCATCTTGGGCCCCATGTCTCAAAAGAGGAGGTTCCTCAATTTGGATCCCCCCTCGGAGGCTGTCCAACGGCGTCTTGGGGCCGTCTTGGAGCGCTCTTGGGCGCCTCTTGGGCGATCTTGGGGCCGCGTCTTCGACCTTCTTGGGCCCCTCTTGGGGCCCCTTTGGGCCATCATGGTGCCATCTTAATTAAGGCTTCCAAAACCCATCGGAAGCGAAAAGGCGAGAATGCCAAAAATATTGTTTTTCCCTAGGCTTTTGAAGTGTTTTGGCATCTTGGAGAGCGCCGTGGAGGGCTCGAAGGGCACTTGGATCCATCTTGGGGCTGTGTTGGGGCCTCTTGGGGGTAGGTCGGAGGCTATCTTGACCCATTTTGAAGTAACATGGGCCATCTTGGAAACCATCTTGCGACTTTGAACGCCTCTTGGAGCAGTCATGGGCCATCTTGGACGCTCCAACGCCTCGCGGCGCGCCCCGTCCAGGCCCAGGGGAGGGGGGTAGGGGGAGGGGTTTCAGTGGAAGAGAGGAGAACAAAAACGCGTTACATTACCTAAGTCCAAAGGGCAGGTGGGATTGTGAGGAAGTATTAAGCGGGAGCCGCGATTCGGTGGTAAGTTGCGAGGAAGTCCCATGCGAGAGCGCGATTCTTCAATACATTGTGAGGAAGTATCAAGCGGGGGCCGCGATCCGGTGGTAAATTGCAAGGAAGTCCCAAGCGAGAGAGATTCTTCAATCAATTGTGAGGAAGTATCAGGCGGGAGCCGTTGTTGTTGTAAACCGGGGGCCAACAACGCAGTTTGACCTTCAAGATTTTCCTGATAGAAAACAGGGTGCGAGCTCCGGGACAGGCGCTTCAATCGGAAAAAAACAATGTGCACCGGACGGGGGGATCAACAATAATGATTCTTCAGAAATGAGAGCTCAACAACAACACCAACAATAACACCACCGACAACAACGGCAGCAACAACAACAATGACAACAATATTTTTAAGACTGTTCGCGCTTATATGTTCGAGTGTCCAATAACGCGTATTTCCCAAACCCTCGATACCCGCCCTCTTCGTCTTCGATCGAACCCCTTTTGGGGGGTATACCTTTCTTCCCTGCAGGCCGGGCCCCGGCAAGCGGCGGGGCGGCCGCGGACCGTCGGCCTGGCCAGCGGCAGCGCTGATCGGCGGGGCGGCCGCGGACAGCAAAATCCGTCCAATGACGCCTCCACGATGCCCTCTGGAGGCACCCAAGAAGCCTCCAGGCGTCTCCGTCCGCCATGCGGGGGCTTCTGCGGCGGACGATGTGGTCACAGGTGGGTCGTCTCGGGATCGGCCCTCCTTCTCCCGCCGTGCCCCTCCTCCCGTCCTCCCAATATCGATCCTCTGCCTCCTCCTCTTCCCCTTCCTCTTCCTCCTCCACCTCCTCGTCTTCTTCTTCTTCTTCTTCTTCTTCTTCTTTTTTTTGTTTTTCTTCTTTTTCTTATTTTTCCTCCTCCTCCTCCCCCCCCTCCTCCTCCCCCCCTCCTCCCCCCAGTTTTACGGGTTTGGCGGTTGGCTGGCTGTGTTGGAAGCAGCTTCTTCGCGTAGTCTAGATGCAGACCTACGGACCACTTTGGGTTCAAGAGGGGATCGTGTTTTGAGGCCGCTCCTCAAAGCTGGGTCGGGCAGCTTCTTCGTTGCCGAAGCTCGCCGTGGCCAGAGGACCCTCTTGTCTCCCCATTCGGCGTCCAGGCGACTTGCGGGGATCAAGCTGGAGAGATCGAGCTGACACTGCGTATGTCGATATACACTCGTACGAATTGAGGTAATCCCACACCCCGGAGAGGCGGGGAAGTTTCAGCCTGTCATCGAGGGACTGCAAAAGTCGTCAAGCCTATC